ATTGACGAATTTTTGTGTGACGGTTGATTAAAAAATGAAGACAAATATTATATAGGCGAGGAAGTATTATTATTTATAAGGAAGGAAGGTTGGTTTAGTTAGTGGCTGGAATACCTACAGTGTTTATTTTGAACTTGTTTTTAATTTTTAATTTGTTGAAAATAGTATAAAACTGGCCAAATAACCAACTTTCAGGCACTTAAAACGGTAGGTTAGGAAAGATTTGTCAGGAACCAAGACAAGTTTTTCTTAGCCATATGATGACCTGCAGCTGGAGCTTTTGGTCATCTGACCGAAGGGTCAGTTGAGCACTGGAATTGGCCTGACAGTCTTAAGGTGGGCAAAATCATCGTTGTGTAAAGTTATAATTATAATTATAATCATGGGGAGTGTGGAAAATTTTTGTAGGGGTGTTTACCTGTACGTACCTCAACATTACATGCATACAAGTAATCTCATTGGGAGACAAACATCTTGTTTACCGTAGTCACCCCGTGTAGACATGTGAGAAAACTTAACCACCCTGGTCACGGCAGGTGGTTCCTTCGACTCTCACAATCTTATCCATATCTATCCGGAACCAGTATAAATTGGATAGCACCCACAAGTACGGCGCTACTAATTAATTGTGGACTGTATAGATTATATTAGTTTAACTGAATGAAGGGGGGGTGGGGTAGGTTACACTTGGATATATCAATCGAGGAAAAACACTTATACATAATCCCACCACTTACCAGGTATTCTCTGGTGGTCACTTGATGTAGCTGGATCACCCGTAACCTATCCAATTACATCATACCTAACTGGCCAGTATAAGTCTGCTATAACTAGAAAGGTTACTTAGCTGTGGGTGATTGATGCTCCTTATTTCCTCCATTCACCATCTCATTTCGATGTCCTGCTACACCGACACGGTTCTTATTCCAGCAGGACGAGGTATCCGTTGGTTTGTCCCGGTTTAGAAGTCATGACTCCATAAAAACTTCACTATCCTCGAGACAGGAACAATGAGGTAAAGATGTGCACACACACTCTGGGAATGGCAGCTCGTATCGCTTCAACGATTCCTTAACTTAGTGTTATTATCACTGATTACATTACAATTCACAAGACGATTTAATGTCTCATAATTATTATACACATTAGAGGTCACTCCATTAACATCTGAGACCAATGAGTGAGGATTAACTCACGGGTATTTCCCCTGGACACACACCATGGCCGCGCACCAGTCACTCCCGGTCGAACCATTATTCACTAATTTTACCACCCTTTTACGGTGTTCCCGTAAATCACGTTCCCTCGCTCTTCACCAGGAACAGTTACGACACTTCCTATTATGAAGTGAGGCCTATATTAATCCTTAGGCCGCCGTGAATGCCAATTTCCTGGTCCCATGTTTTCACAGCCTCCTCACTCCATTCAAAACACTCCCACCTCTCGCATGCCCTCAGCCGACCTCCCTCCTCGCACATCCGCGCAGGCGCAGGGGGAACACTGTTGGTTCTATTCAAATTTCATATACATTTTGACTCAAATCAACACATTAAACACCTATTAGGCACTATAGCTTCGGAAAATTAAATATTTTCCACAGGGAGCGCTAAACCCGTAGGATTATACAGCACGTGGGGGGATGGAAAGTATTCAGGCTTAATTCAGGGAACCGGAGCACAGATCCAATTCTCTAGATCAAGAGCCCCTCACCAGCATTAAAGAACCTCCCTTGAGGGGCGTTGTGTACAGGGCTTCCCGACCTCCATTATTATTATAATAAAAAAGAAGCACTAAACCACAAGGGCTACACAATGCTGCAGGACAGGGAAGGATTTGAGGGTATCATGTAGCAAGAGGGAGAGGGATGATTAGTAGGTTATGGAGTACAGCAAGACAGTGGACAGTGCGGGGGTAGAGGGTAGCAAGAGATTGAGGTAGAAAGGGCTGAGGGGAGTGCTAAAGGTATCATCATCAGAGTTTGTGGAGTAAATCAGTTGCTGTCAAAAAGTCAATGAGAAAGTCTGGATTAAAGGAGGGTCCATCAGCAAGAAGGGAAGGTAAAGAAAGGACAGCAGAGAGGAGACGATGTTGGAAGTAAATTCTGTGTGCTCGTTGATAGAGAGGGCAATCCAACAGAATGTGGCTAACAGATACTGGAACCTGACAATTCTCACAGAGGGGAGCAGGGCGCCTCTCCACGAGATACCCGTGAGCAAGACGAGTGTGGCCGATGCGAAAACGGGAGAGAGTAGTCTCGTAACCTCGACATTGATGACAAGATGGCAAGTAACCTATACTTGGTTTAATAGAATGAAGTTGGTTATAGAGCAGATCAGACCAATGTTGTTGCCAACGGGTGTGAAGGTGGGTAGCAATTACTGCAAAATAGTCTGTGAAACACCTCTATATGAAATTGGGAGGTCATGTACCACTGACCGCGCAACAGTGTCTGCCTGTTCATTGTCCTGTACATCAACATGACCAGGGACCCAATAAAAACATCTTTGTGCTTGGTAGAGATACGGCATAACCAAAGTTCGATACAGAGAACTAGGGGGTGAGGTGTATCAAATTTTCGTATAGCCTGTAAAGCACTAAGGGAATTTGAAACAACTACAAATGATGACACAGGCATAGATGCAATACTGATAAGTGCTGCAAGAATGGCATACAATTCAGCAGTAAAAATACTAGCTGAGGATAGTAAATGCCCTCGTATGACACTGTCCGGAAACACTGCTGTGAATCCAACTTCGTCAGAAGACTTAGAACCATCTGTGTACACTGTGATGGCATGAGAATGAGAGCAGAAGTGGTCAAGAAAGAGAGAGCAGGATCTATGGTAGGCAGTTGGGCTTTTGCGCATGGCAGTAAGAAAGAACAGACACAAACAGCTGGAACTTCCCAAGGAGGTAGGGAAAAGCGAGATGCTACATGAACATAGAAAGGTGGTAACTGAAGGGAAGACAAGAGCGAATGTAGGCAAAGAGAAAAGGGATGGAGTAAACAAGGGTGACGAAAAAATAAAGAATGTCTACTAACATCAGTGACTATTCTATATATGTAAGGATTGCGGAGATCATGAGAGTGAACAAAATAGCGAAGGCAACTGGCATCATGGCGATCGGGCAAGGTTGGAATATTTGCTTCTGCATAGAGACTCTCAAGAGGTGAAGAGCAAAAAGCACCAAGGCATAGACGTAATCCCTGGTGATGGATGGGATTAAGGCTAGAGAGAGTAGCAGGAGAGACTGCCTAATAGATTTGGTCACCATAATCGAGTTTCGATAAAATTAGGGCTGAATGTAGGCGAAGGAGAGTTCTACGATCATCCGCCCATGAAAGACGAGTGAGGGTTTTAAGAAGGTTCAGCCTGCTGTGACAAGTTGCCTTCAGAGATGTAATGTGAGGTTTCCAGGATAACCTACGGTCAAACAGAAGGCCTAGAAACGTGACCGTAACACGTTCTGGGATACGTGAGCCATAGAGATACAATGGATGATCAGAGATGACAGAACGTCTAGAGAAAGTAATTTGGTGAGTTTTAGTACTGGAAAATTTAAACCCATGCGTGGTGGCCCAATTGGAAACACCGATGACCACATGCTGGAGAGAAACTGCAATGAGATGACAGTCAGCACCTGCACAAGCTATAGCAAAGTCATCAACAGAGTGATGACCAAATATTGAGAAAAAGTGTTGTGGTCAGAGCACATCCCTGGGGGACACCTTCAGCTTGGATAAAGTCCGGGGAGAGCATATTATTAAGCCGAACACAAATGTCTGTCAGTTAAGTTCTTAAGGAAGGATGGTAGATTGCCTCGGAGGACTAAGGAGTGGGCTTGGGCCAAAATATACCTCCAAGTTGTGTCATATGCCTTCTCAAGGTCAAAAATTATGGCAATAATTGAGTGGTTATTCACGAAGGCATTACGAACATACGTATCCAAGCGTAGTAAGGGGTCTATGGTAGAACGGCCCTTACAAAAGCCATACTAACTAGTGGGGAGAATGTCATGCGTCTCTAAATACCACATTAAACGTCTATTTACCAGACGTTCCATCACCTTGCAAACTGCACTGGTAAGAACAATGAGACGATAGTGGGAGGCATCATGTCCTTTAGTACCTGGTTTATGGAAAGGGAGAACAATGGCAGTCTCGACCTCCAACTTCATGCCTTCGTATTTCTGTAGTTATTACATCATATTTTGGTATTTTGTTACCATAAAAATATTCCCACTTTAGATTTTTTTTTTTTAAATGCTGATGCCGAAGAGGCTTTCAGTTTGGGCTCTCACCCGTGAAAGGGTTAAAATGTTAACCTGATTATTTTACATTGTATTTCAGAGTTCTGTTTTCTGTTTGCGCATGAAAAATTTTAATCACCTTTCTGTATTACAGTATTTCATTTAATTGTGTTATTATATAGTATGCTATAATTGGTTAAATTTTGTTAACATATAACAATCCAACCGAATTAATATAAGTATATAAATATGCTTACAAATGAACATAAAATCCCACTTTTTTATTACAAGGGCTGTGAATTGTAGGCCTCACTTGCCATAGATTCAAACCTTACCCGTTCCGTGGTTAGAAGGGCTGATTAAAATATAATGTACTCTGTGATATTTGCTAGTAGACTATATTGAAAAAAAATAAATTGAAAACTAATACAAGTTTTATTAGAGGGTAAGATAAGGTAGATAAGGCACTGTTATATTACAACTTACCTGACATCTTAGACGAAGTTCATCCCTCAACCTTGTTGGCTGGAACAACTTACTGACATCTTAGACGAAGTTCATCCCTCAACCTTGTTGGCTGGAACAACTTACCTGACATCTTAAACGAAGTCCATCCCTCAACCTTGTTGGCTGGAACAACTTACCTGACATCTTAGACAAAGTTCATCCCTCAACCTTGTTGGCTGGAACAACTTACCTGACATCTTAAAAGAAGTTCATCCCTCAACCTTGTTGGCTGGAACAACTTACCTGGCATCTCAGACAAAGTCCATCCCTCAACCTTCTTGGGTGGAATACTGATCACCTTCTCGGCTGCATAACTTCCATCATCCTTTTGGTAAAATCTATAAAATGAAACAAAAATCATTGACAATAATCAGACTTTAGATTAGCTACTCGTGGCTAAACGTTTCCTCTAATAAATCTGTTCATCCAGCTCTACTAAAAAATTCATTTCATACTGTGCTCCCACTACGACCAAATTTCCTCGCAGATACTGTATCTTCATACTGATTTAAATCTTACTTTCTCAAGGGAAAACAGAAGATAATGGACATAGGAGCCAATGTTCTGTAATTGATCGTAACCTGGAGCTAGGATTCAGAGGCAGCTCACCCACACGATACCCACGAGTACCCAAGTGTATCCAGGGGCACCCACACCCACTCATGCAGTACCCACGGGGTGCCAAGGATGGTTTTGGGGGACTGGGCAGTGAACCATGACTGGATCAACACCATTAATGTGGGGCCTCATGTGGGATAGATTTCAATGGAAAAACCTGGTAGATAATTCTGTAGGCAGGACATGGCCTGTAAATAAGGTGAGCATAGGGAAGTTTGCATGTTCCTGCCCTTTAACCTTCATAGCCTTTAACCTTTAATTTGAACAGTGTTATTAATCTGTGTTTATTGTGGGATAGGACAGCTGTTCACCAGTGAATGTCAGTGCAGTTAAATAACACACACACATTATATATATATATATATATATATATATATATATATATATATATATATATATATATATATATATTATATATATATATATATATATATAATATTATAATATATGGTTCCTTGGAACATAGCTTCAAGCTCTCTGAGCACCTTGGAACATAGCTTCAAGCTCTCTGAGCACCTTGGAACATAGATTCAAGCTCTCTGAGCACCTTGGAACATAGCTTCAAGGTCTCTGAGCACCTTGGAACACAGCTTCATGGTCTCTGAGCACCATGGTGTTATTACACACCAGGGGATCTACATTCCTTCTATTAATTAGTTATCAGTCCATCAGTGATGTGGGGATGTGTCCAGATTATGACAATGAAGGATATAGTGGAGTGACAACCGATTATACATACGTCCCTTCAGGACAGACTGTAATTAATTCTCATACTCTCACTTCGATTCCTCACAGCAGTATTACGGTGGTTATTAAGCTAATTTAAACTCTGAGGTGTTGCCTGTATTCCCTCACCATACATTTTCAATCTTAAACTGATATTACTCAATTCTAATAATAATTTTTATTAAGTATCCCTCAAATTGAGAACCTATAATTGTTGTCAATTTTTTTCCTTTCCCCACAACGTGCATAAGGAAAGTTGAGATTGTAACTGGACGACATAAGTTCCAATTTGTATGTTTTATTCACTGGAAGTCTTGGTCTGGAACCTGTCGCGGGAGCGTTGACCCCCAGAACACTCTCCAGTTAGACTAACTATATTTTTATTTTCACGAGGTGATACATTTAAGTCGAGTTATCCAATAATTTATCCACAAAGATATTCCAACATTCAAACATCTGACTCAGGAAATTAGTTTAGAAACTAGTCTGTAAAAAAGTACCAAAATACAGTAAAATTAAAGTTTATTTAAAAAATCATACCACTAAGAATGGAAACAAGTCACACTATTCAACTGTGTTGTATTATCCTAGGTTAAATCTACATAATTTATTATTAACGTACCATCCACCAGAACCCTGGTATAAATCTATATTACTGGCGGGACAGTTTATTATTTTGTGAATAAGCTTATTTTATCTTACCTAAATACATTAGCATATAAGGCACAACCCACAAAGCCTGAGTAGCAAGGGGATTGTGAAGAAAACGAATTTCCAGGGGCATGATGCCCTCGATGCCCAGGTCAATGCGCTGCAGAAGACGTTGATCAGACCACGAGTACACGTTCAGGTGGGTACCATACTTTCCTGCAAGAAATTTTGAAAAATATAAATGTTAAAATTATAAGTATTAAAAATATAGATATTAAATTGTCATTGAAAGACATGACTTTTGATGCACAAAAATGTAAGATTATGTACAGTGTACAGTACACTGATTATCTACAGTGTACAGTACACTGATTATCTACAGTGTACAGTACACTGATTATGTACAGTACACTGATTATATACAGTACACTGATTATGTACAGTACACTGATTATATACAGTACACTGATTATGTACAGTACACTGATTATGTACAGTGTACAGTACACTGATTATGTACAGTACACTGATTATGTACAGTGTACAGTACACTGATTATGTACAGTACACTGATTATGTACAGTGTACAGTACACTGATTATGTACAGTATACAGTACACTATGTACAGTGTACAGTACACTGATTATGTACAGTATACAGTACAGTGATTATGTACAGTGTACAGTACACTGATTATGTACAGTACACTGATTATATACAGTGTACAGTACACTGATTATGTACAGTGTACAGTACAGTGATTATGTACAGTGTACAGAACACTGATTATGTACAGTACACTGATTATGTACAGTATACAGTACACTGATTATGTACAGTGTACAGAACACTGATTATGTACAGTACACTGATTATGTACAGTATACAGTACACTGATTATGTACAGTGTACAGTACAGTGATTATGTACAGTATACAGAACACTGATTATGTACAGTACACTGATTATGTACAGTGTACAGTACACTGATTATGTACAATATACAGTACACTGATTATGTACAGTGTACAGTACACTATGTACAGTATACAGTACAGTAATTATTTACAGTATACAGTTTACCTGGAGACCTGGAGTTTACCTGGAGAGAGTTCCGGGGGTCAACGCCCCCGCGGCCCGGTCTGTGACCAGGCCTCCTGGTGGATCAGAGCCTGATCAACCAGGCTGTTGCTGCTGGCTGCACGCAAACCAACGTACGAGCCACAGCCCGGCTGGTCAGGAACCGATTTTAGGTGCTTGTCCAGTGCCAGCTTGAAGACTGCCAGGGGTCTGTTGGTAATCCCCCTTATGTATGCTGGGAGGCAGTTGAACAGTCTCGGGCCCCTGACACTTATTGTATGGTCTCTTAACGTGCTAGTGACACCTCTGCTTTTCATTGGGGGGATGTTGTATCGTCTGCCAAGTCTTTTGCTTTCGTAGTGAGTGATTTTTCGTGTGCAAGTTCGGTACTAGTCCCTCTAGGATTTTCCAGGTGTATATAATCATGTATCTCTCCCGCCTGCGTTCCAGGGAATACAGGTTTAGGAACCTCAAGTACACTGATTATGTACAGTGTACAGTACAGTGATTATGTACAGTGTACAGTACAGTGATTATGTACAGTGTACAGTACACTGATTATGTACAGTGTACAGTACAGTGATTATGTACAGTGTACAGTACAGTGATTATGTACAGTGTACAGTACAGTGATTATGTACAGTGTACAGTACACTGATTATGTACAGTGTACAGTACACTGATTATGTACAGTATACAGTACAGTGATTATGTACAGTACAGTACATGATTATGTACAGTGTACAGTACATGATTATGTACAGTATACAGTACAGTGATTATGTACAGTGTACAGTACACTGATTATGTACAGTGTACAGTACAGTGATTATGTACAGTGTACAGTACAGTGATTATGTACAGTACACAGTACAGTGATTATGTACAGTGTACAGTACACTGATTATGTACAGTGTACAGTACAGTGATTATGTACAGTATACAGTACAGTGATTATGTACAGTGTACAGTACACTGATTATGTACATGTACAGTACAGTGATTATGTACAGTATACAGTACAGTGATTATGTACAGTTACAGTACATGATTATGTACAGTATACAGTACAGTGATTATGTACAGTATACAGTACAGTGATTATGTACAGTACACAGTACAGTGATTATGTACAGTGTACAGTACAGTGATTATGTACAGTGTACAGTACAGTGATTATGTACAGTGTACAGTACAGTGATTATGTACAGTGTACAGTACAGTGATTATGTACAGTGTACAGTACATGTGATGTACAGTTTACAGTACATGATTATTCGTTACAGTACACTCGTACAGGTACATACAGAACAGTGTACAGTACATGATTATTGTGTATCATACGTGATATTGAGTGACAGTCAGTGATTAAACGTTCTAACATGTAACATTATCTTATAATAAATCGGTACCAGTACTAATGAACATGTGAAACTTGTAATCAGTTCTACCTGAGAAAAGTATTTCGTGTACACAGTAGAATTTCAGTCAAATAAAAAAGAAATTAGTTGAAATTTTTGATGATGTAACGTCCATCTTCGTTGGTAAACTGAAAGTTTTGAGGTGTATCTAGCCTGAGAAAGTGCCAGAATTCTGATTAAAAAAATTAGTGAATTATTCTTGTAATAAACTTAAAGAATGTCTGTTCTGAACATTCTTCTTGAAATACGACATGTATCTATCCGAACCTGATAAATGTTTGGAGTTTAATTTAGTTGTAGCATGCAAACAATATTAATTAATAAATTAAATAATATTTTGTTTAAACTGTGTGTGCTGTCTGAAGAATAACTGACGTCACTTCATTCTGGTAATACCTTGATTCTTAATCATGGTTTAGATGTTTATTTAGGCTATGTATGATAGTTTATTAAATACGAATAATCCTTCTGATAGACCAATAAACTGTAATCAAGCTGAAGAATTTTTTAAATGCTGTCACAGTCTCACTTTATTCTGAAATGAAAAATACGACTTAGTCAACTTTTAGGTCGATGTATCTGGACGGATTTTAATGTTTACCGGTTTCTCACAAATGCTTCTGTAAATAGAGATCTATTAACGTATTTATGTAACGAATAAATTTTTTTGTGATGACCTGTGTACACAGCTTATTTGTAGGTATCTGCAAGAGGCGCTGGTACAACGAGTCTCTCAAGATGTGTAGTTCTGCAGATGGCGCTGGTAACGATCTCGTCAAATGGCTGCTAGTTCATGGTATGTATCAACGATTGTGTATCTGAATAAACTTACTTCTGCATGATGACTCTGGTACAACGAGTCTCGTCAAGATGTGTGTAGGGTTCTGCAAGATGGCGCTGGTACAACGAGTCTCGTCAAGATGTGTGTAGGGTTCTGCAAGATGGCGCTGGTACAACGAGTCTCGTCAAGATGTGTGTAGGGTTCTGCAAGATGGCGCTGGTACAACGAGTCTCGTCAAGATGTGTGTAGGGTTCTGCATGATGGCGCTGGTACAACGAGTCTCGTCAAGATGTGTGTAGGGTTCTGCAAGATGGCGCTGGTACAACGAGTCTCGTCAAGATGTGTGTAGGGTTCTGCAAGATGGCGCTGGTACAACGAGTCTCGTCAAGATGTGTGTAGGCTTCTGCAAGATGGCGCTGGTACAACGAGTCTCGTCAAGATGGCGCCCAGACTAACTACTCATCAGGTGTGCAAAATTTTCAACATTATTTTATTTTTATTTATAATTCAGGTACGGAAATAACTACAGGCGGAAGTAAACTGCTTTCAACTCACAGAAAGTCACAATACCATGACTGGAACACTACACATACAACAGGGAAATAACATTTCGGTCCAACAGGGCTAGTTAATGATTTATGTCGGACCGAAACGTCGTCATAAGTTTCATTCTCTTTTGTGCAGGTTTTTCGTATAACTTATTTTTATCCTGACTGGTTTTATATTTTCGAAATGTTTGACTGAGTCGAGTCTCAGCTTCTGGTCCTCTTGAATGTACTGATCCACAGTGCCTCTGCTACATAAAGGAGTTGATCTACAGCTCTTGAACCATTAGTGTGTTTTGCTACAGTTGCTAGGATTCTCGAGTTTACCTGGAGAGGGTTTCGGGAGTCACCGCCCCCGCGGCCCGGTCTGAGACCAGGCCTCATGGTGGATCAGGGTCTGATCAACCAGGCTGTTACTGCTGGTAGCGTATGCAAACTGACCTAAGAACCACAGCCCGGTTGGTCAGGTACTGACTTCAGGTGCCTGTCCAGTGCCTTCTTGAAGAGAGTCAGGGGTCTATTGGTAATCCCCCTTATGTATGCTGGGAGGCAACTGAAGAGTCTTGGGCCCCGGACACTTATTGTGTTGTCTCTCTGTACTCGTGGCGCCCCTGCTTTTCATCGGGGGAATGTTGCATCTTCTACCGAGTCTTTTGCTTTTGTACGGAGTAATTTTCGTTTGCAACTTTGGTACTAATCCCTCCAGGACCTTCCAATTGTATATTATCATGTATCTCTCTCGACTGCGTTCCAGGGAATACAAATCAAGGGACTTCAATCGTTCCCAGTAATTTAGGTGCCTTATCGTACTTGTGTGTGCCATGAAAGTTCTTTGTACACTCTCCAAGTCTGCAATGTCTGCCTTGAAGGGGGCAGTTAGTGTACAACAGTATTCCAACCACCTAGAGAGAACAAGTGATTTCAAGATGATCATTATGGACTTGGCATCCCTAGTTTTGAAGGTTCTCATTATCCATCCTATCATTTTCCTTGCAGATGAGGTAGATACATTGTTGTGGTCTTTGAAGGCGAGATCCTCTGACATTATCACTCCCAGGTCTTCACATTACAATATACTCGGGTCACAACATAATCGAGGTTCAGACATGTGCGCACGGAGCCCCAGACCGACAAAATGGGATCAGTCACGAGGGAGCCGTCACCAAATTCAACTTCAATAACAAGAACATAAAGTGAGACCAAGTAAACCAAGTCCTAAACGATATAAGCTGGGACGATAGACTAAGCAACACAGACCCCAACTTATGACTAGAACAGATTAACTCTGTGGCACTCGATATATGCTCAAGGCATATTCCTTTAAGAAAAAGGAGGAGAAGATGTAAAATAGAAAGAGACAGGCGCTTCCTTTACAGGCGACGGAAAAG